ATTACAATCACAATTACATTAAACTACTGGAAGATGTAGATATTAGTGGGATGCTTGAGCTCTTGCTGATTGGATGACGGCGACGTTTGGCTTTTAAACCTGAAGTCATTCTGCTTTTGCTCACTCATTTATAAAGAAAAGGCAGAATATGTTGTCCATTTTCTGAATATGTTTTTGTGGGTTTTTTTTATTTGTATTTTTTTTTCCCCAAGTTAATATAATTGTATGTTTTAAGCTGTTGCTGAGTTTTTGGATATGTTATTATAGTTTAAAAAATCTTTCTGTGTTTTTTAATTTGTAGGTTTGTTTAAAGATTTGTTGATGCGGTTTGCACTTCAGGGCGACTGTTACATATCTAACAGTATTTTCCAAACAATAAAAAATAATCTTGCCAAAACTCATGTTGCAAATGTATTATTCTAGTAGCCTGGCTGACATCTAGTGGGTATCTGATGTTACTACACACATATGACAACGATATCTGACATATGTGACACTGCCCACTACCCTGAGACTTCTGAAACTGATGTATAACCAGATGGGAGAGAAATGTACATTATTCCATTAGCAAATAAGGAGATTACAAATTTTCGAAAAATCTAACTTTAATAGAAACAAATTCGACTCCATTGTTTTTCTAAATCCATAGGGCTATTTAACCACTAAAAGTTACTTAAAGGGCTTAAAAAAACTCTTATTTGTAATCCACTGCCTTTTCTTTTTCTGTGTTATAACTACAATACGGAAGTCCATTCCTTAAAGTAAACTCTTTGGTTGGAAAGGGAAAAGCATTGAAACTGCAACCTCAGACAGACACATGATAAGCCCCTTATGACTCTATAGCAACCATAAGATTGCATCCTTTCACCTGATTGTTTAAGAATGATGCCAGGCAGATGCAAAAAAGTAAACAAGAATAATGAGAATAATAGATTTATGCATCAACTACTCCTTTAACTATAATCAAAGTTTAACCACGTGATCTCCAACTTAAGCATCAGATGCCAAATTTACAGACTAATAACTGCTCACATTGTCCACAGTGGGGAGTCTACTCCCTTGTAACTGATTATAAAAATGAGCAAAAATAAACATGATTGGGATATAACTATAGAAAACTTTATTTCTGTCAAGAATTTATGCTGCCCACTGATACACTGGTCCCCTGGGCAATATGCCACATTACCTGTATCGACAATCATAAACTGTCCCTCATATACCATTGTTATTTATTTTATTTGTATTTATTTTATATACTCTAATAATTCCAGAGGGAAATTACTTCTCTGCATTTAAACCATCCCCTTGGGGATTTTGCAGCGCCCGGGGGGTAGTGCGGGGTTAAGGGTCTTGCTCAGGGACCCAGAGTGGCAGTCTGTGGGAGTGGGGGATTGAACTCTCAACCTCAGGATTCAAAGCCTTATGCCCTAACCTCAATGGCCACCACTCCCCAAGTTAGTGTCACAAGCTACCCACGGCCATATTTTGCCTGAGCGTACCCACCAAAAGTGGGTACCTACTCTTTGACTGGATTCACAGGGCCTTTTTTATAAATATATATGAAAGCACAGGGCTGCACCAAAAGGGGAGTGCAGATAAAAATTTTAATTTATCATTCCCTTGCATCCTGAATTTTGTTTTTTGATTCATATATGTGTCTTCAACAGTATAAATAGACACACCTGCTTACTGTTAAAAATAATGAAACAAAATTATTGAATGTTATCACAATGCAAAATCTCTGCATTTTAATTAGTTGGGGTATAGCCCCGAACGACAAGTGCACTGCGGACAAGAAGAAAACAACAATAAAAAATAAATAACTCTAAGAAAAATACCTCACATGCTTTTATTCTGAAAGCGCAATGCAGCATCATGTCACTGGGCCACCCCCACCCTAAGCTACTCTAAGGCTGAATCCCAAACCGCGCCCTAACCACTAACCCTTAACTAATACGTTTCCCTCGCAATAAAGTCACGCTCACAGATGTGGAAGGTGCCCGGATTGTACGTGGGGGGTATAAACGTGAAAAGGACTGCCTCTTCCCTCCAATGGAAATGGAAAGCAGTCGTTTCTATGTCAACACAGAGACGCTGCATGTGTGTGGTTGTAGCTCAGTGGCGCAGGTTAGCATAACATCAAATATTTGCCATTTTCTCTAAAATTAATATATCCATTCAAATCAAACTATTTCAAAGATGACTTTCCATTTAGGGATTAATGTAATCTTTTTTTATTTTTCCTAAATTGTGATTTTCTGTCAGTGTGATGAAGATTCAGCAAACCAGCGGAACTTACATTTAAATGCACATTCACCAATTTGTCACTAGTTTGCCGTTACACCCACTGCCAAATTCCAGCGAGCCTGCACTGATGCAGACTCACTATTTAAGGCCTGAATGGTCCACTCACCCTAAACAATACGAGGTTTGGGATGGCCCTTAATGTGGCAGACCCTCCGCGAGATCCCGCAAACAGAGGGTTACTGCAAAAATGAAGATCTATAATTACAGTTATGACTAGTAGAAATGTACTTTTGACAAAGAACAATCCTATTTTAGCAATCTACAAAAGAACGACAGGAGAGCAGGCTTTGCCTAATACAGCCTGACATAGCCTGCGCTGTCAGAAACACTCTAGTTTAGAGATCTTTTTTTTTTTTTTGATTTTTGCTGCACTAGTGGCATGTTATTGTGCAGTAATCTGACAGGAAAGTGGATAAGGGAGAGGGAGAGGCATGTGACAAAGGAACACAGGCTGGATTCGAACCAAGCTGGGCCACGTTGAGGACTAATAGGCTTCCGTACATAGGTTGTGCACGCTAACCACTGTGCCTATGAGGTAAAACTGTCTGTTGGCAATGTTTTTATGAATATGGCTGGTTTAAAACAGCTTGTTGTTAGTTAACATTTGTATTTAGAAACCCCATTGTTTGAGCTCATCTTAATCCTGGGATGGACACTCGTCCATTATTGAGCTGCTAACAGAGAAATGCTTCCCGTATAATAAACTATGGATCACAAATGATCTGAAGCAATTACTCAACAAGAAAAAACAAGCCTTTAAGAGGAGTGACATGGAATTAAAAAGGAGAATACAGAAGCAACTTTAAGATAGAGATGAGAGAAAGCAAGGAGGCATACAGGAACAGGCTGGAAAACAAACTCCAGTAGAACAATATCAGAGATGTGTGGTCAGGGAAGAAGAAGATCACAGTGTTCAAACAGGAAGACAATCAGACAGATGGAAGTCTGGACAGAGTCACTGAACTGAATACATTCTTCAACAGGTTCAGTTAAGGAACTAGTTCAGCATCTTTCTCTCCTGCCCATAGTCACATGGACATCTCGCCCTCCTCTGCCATTGATTCTTCTGCTATTAGTTTGTAATCAGCCACATCAGAAGAGGGTGCTGCTCCCTCTAACTTTGACCTGTCTATCTCTAGAAGTCAAGCAAAGAGGCAACTGGAGACACTGAATCATAATAAGTCACCAGGTCCTGATGGTGTCAGCCCCAGAGTCCCGAAAGCCTGTGCAGAGCAGATCTGTGGGATTTTACAGCATCTCTTCAATCTTAATCTGACCCTGGAAGCAGTTCCAGTGACGTGGAAGACCTCCTGTCTTGTGAAGAAAATTATGAACAACAATGAGTTTGCTCTTCAGAAGATTTTTAAACAACAACAGAGTGTCTTCAGTTTGGCTGGCATCTTCAGATCGGGTGCAAGACAGACGGATACAGAAGATCCTTCCTGCCTACAGCTCTTAACACCTGTTAAAAAAAATGTATAAGTTACTGCAACATTTAATTTCCCTTTGGGATTAATAAAGTAATTTTTTTGTGTCATTTGTTGAAAATATTTTTGTATCAGAAAAGCCTGCTGCTTTTTATATATTTTGTCAGCCAAATCCCAATACTGTATATAAGCATAACGTCCTGTTGTGATATTATTCAGTAACATTGAGGGTTTGAGGCAAAGACAGGAGCTGACCAACAGGTAAGAAAGAGTAACACATATCAAGAGATAGGGTTGCAAAGAAAAGGTTCGTTATTAAAAAAGATTCTCCATGCCACTATTTAAGCTGATCCTGGATAGAAAGCAGTGTTGATATAAAAACATAATTTACAAATGTTGGACAGTTGGACATAAAATCTTCAAAGTATAAGTTTAGATTATTTGTTAAAGCTTGCTTCTAAGATGAAACTAATCAGGGAGCAGTCTTTGTCTACAAGTCGTTGGTTTCAAAAGTCGGCTGGGCCACCCAGGATCACTTGATGGTTTTGCAAACATAAAAAAAACACCGTCCATCTGGATGGATGGATGGAAAAAAACAAAACACTGAAACACTAGATGTTATCTCATCACATAGCCCACTAGTATACAAATTCTTTTATCCCTTCCAATCTTGAGGACAAGCGGCAACAATGAATCCAGACTTGGCTTCTTTTACAGGGTCGGATTTCACTAGAAACAGAAACTCTCCATAGTGATACTCAAACAGGAGGGTCAACTATCATAATCATAGAAGCAACTAAAGGATGTCTTAGAATTTGAATACTATGCATGGTGTTGTAAAGAGAGTTGTGCTGTACATTTAGCTCAAGTATATCTATAAGGAAAATAATTTTAATAGGAAGTTATTGAGACTTTAAAAACACAAAAAGGCGAGCAGACTGGAAGGCATCAGGAAAAGTTTGTGGGACCTCTGCCTCTGTCTTGTATTAGGATCTTCACAAGGGGGTTGTTGTTTTAGCACTTTAACCAGAGGGCTGGGCGTGGGTGAAGTCAGTTGGTTGGCTGCTCGTCTTACTGAATGTCAAAAAAAGGAAAACAAAAAAAAAAGGCTAAGAAAGGGGGCAGGGTTATGGGTTGAGAAACCTCTTCTTTTCAACTTAATACGTTCTCTACAAACACACCCGCATGTGGACACACAAAACAGATAACAGAGCCCAGCACACAAAGTCAGGATGTGACATCATTCACAGGAAGAGAAACCAAACACTATTTTAACTCTTTTCTACGTTGTCCACACTGCTGAGCAAAGTCAAAGCCCTTCTCGGACTGCTGATCGACCATCAGAGTGGAAAAGATTCAGAAGAGAGGGAACAGCTGACTCTGACTCTCACAGCAAGTTTAATCCTCTCTGAACCTTCAACAGCTTTCCACTACATTCCAGCCACCCGCTGTAGGATTTCAGTGAGGTACAGTACAAAGAGAGCTTGATTATAATATAATCTCAGACTGTCTACTAAATCTATTTTATATGTGAGTATTTGTCTTTTTTTCTGAGCACCTGTACTCCAGAAAGGTATGCATGAGTATCTGTTTTTCCCACAGCATGATCAGACATGCTTTCATTGTTTAGACATGCAGAGTGATCAAACTTCACGTCATTTCACTGTTCATCATGTTTGTGGTTGCTGATGTGTTTTGAAACTAGATTGGTGTGTTTCTTTTTTGTGCCTTTGGCTGAAAATGTGTCTCTCAGACTCAAAAAACTCTGGAAATGTGACCCCCCTCCACACATACACCCCTTTCTTTCTTTTATTAGCACATCAGCTGCTGCCCCATGATCATGTATACACTCTGACCCTATAGAAAACTAGGAGCAATCCCGGTTTATGTGCTGTTTCATATAGCAAACCGGTCTCTTTTTGCATGTTTATGTCTTTCAGTATCATATTACAGCTTTACAACTTTACTGAAATAAACTATTTCAACAAAAGGTCCCACATCTGGGTTTGCAATGTGTAGATGAATTATAGTGAGGTGACAGACGTTTCTGCTTTTCAAAAGTCATACTGGCTTCAGAGGGGAAAAAAGCAACAGGAAATGGTAAGGTCTGCAGTTAAACATGGGACTCGGGACACAAATGCGGATATACAGTAGTGTCGTATTGCAAGCTCACTCTTGAACGTGACTGGGTGTTTTATATGTGGCTACTACATGTGCGTTTGTTGCTCAAGAATCAAAGAAAATGTGTTTAATTAAACAAGATCAAATAGTCAAAACAGCTTTCTTTAACAATCTATATTTCTTTAAAAAATATGGTCCTTGTGACTAAAATTTAACTCATAGAAACTAACTTTGTTTTCCATTCACAGTGGATTTTGTATTACGTCTGTAGAGTTTGTTTACTAAAAGAAAAAGGCTTTCTGTCATAATGCCCCATTTGACCAATAAGATCACTGCACTGGGGACATTTAATCTACAGGGAGTCACAGTGTGGCATTTATTTTCTCAATTAGACTTGACTCGAGTGGCCTGACTCTTGTTCCAGAAAATTGCTGCTATTTTTATTCGCAAGCGCTGCAGAAAGCCAACTGAAAAGGTCATTTTACTCACAGACCTCAAAAGGATGATAAAACCAAAGCTTGGCTGCAGATAGAGGATATTATTCTATTAGTGATGGATTGTCTAGTTTCTAACCATAAGTAGTAAATTAGTTTAATTGCCTAAAAAATGTGGTCCATCGTTGGACAGTAAAGGGAAAATGTGTTTGTTTTTCTAAATTGTTTTACTACTAAAAAATATGAAAAGCAAGTTAATTTGTATTTAGGTAATGCTCTGCAGACCCTTTGCTACACTTGCCGCTCAATGAGTTGGGGTATGTGTCTAATAGCTTTGCTGTCTAGAGACAGACATTTCAGTTTATTTCTCTCACCTAATTACCTCAGGTGCAGTTGGACTAGAAGGAGAGCATCTTTGAATCTTCCCATAGATTCTGAAATCAGAGATGGCAAAAGTACTCACTTTCCGTACTTAAGTAAAAGTACAGATACTTGTGTTAAAAAATACTCTGGTAAAAGTGGAAATACTGATTAAACTTCTTTACTCAAGTAAAAGTAACAAAGTACAGGCTTGTAAATTTACTTAAAGTATAAAAGTAAAAGTAGAAACCACTTTTTTCATGCCGTTGCCTACATTTTAAATGGATGTCTGCCAATAGGACTAGATCTCCGTTGTGTTCATTTTCAATCATCTCGTCGTCCATACTACTATGCTAACGCCACCGCCACCAAGCTGCAATGATTTGCCGCCAATGAATACCGCCGAATCTGTCGATTCATCTTGTAGTGGTGCGTCAAATGCAACGTAGATTCCCATCCAATTAGATTGAATTTGGTATTGATGACGTCAAAAATAATAACGGTAACTCCATTGAAATGATTCAAAACTAAAGTAACGAGCCAATTTTTTAAAATGTAAGGAGTAGAAAGTACAGATATTTGTGTAAAAATGTAAAGAGTAGAAGTAAAAAGTCGCCATAAAAATAAGTAGTAAAGTAAAGTAAAAATATCAGAAAAATCTACTTGAGTCCAGTAACGAAGTATTTGTACTTCGTTACTTCCCATCTCTGTCTGAAATGAATCTAGGCATGGACTGTGAGACCTAAATAAGCCTCTTTATTTATTGAATGGATACTTTCTTTTGTAGCCTCTAACAACTTTCTGTCTAGCATTGCGTTTTATTTAGCTTATTCCAGTCAGCTGTGACCACCTTCCCTGTCACTGCTGATGAGAAGCATTTTCACAACATGATACTGCCACCACCATGTTTTACTGTGGTGGAAGATGATGTGCAATGTTAGCTTTCCATCCCAAAAAGCATTCTGCATGTAGACCATAATATTTTGTCTTGGCTGCAACAGAAGAAAAACCAGTTGATGGACAAGAAAGTGATACAGTACATCTAACACATCTGTTATTGCTCTTTACAGAAAAGTCACATCTGGAAACAAGGGCTCCCAGAAATCTTCACATGACAGACACTGAGACCTGCTGACCTGATTTCACCCAGGCTGTTCCCTCTAATTCGCTCAGGAAGCTCAGTTTTATCAAACTCCGACTTATTCTTCATTGTGGAGACCCTAATCTCCCCTTATCTTGGGGGAAGCGGCTGAGTCAATGGCGCTGTGTCTTGGACAAGTGTTCAGCAAAGCCAAAACATTCAGGCCAAGGAAGCACTTTGAGCCTGGCACTCAGCGCTTCGAACTCTACAAGAAGGCCCAGGCCTCTCTCAAGTCAGGCCTGGACCTGAAGAAGGTGGTCCAGCTGCCCGAGGGGGAGAACCTCAATGACTGGATTGCAGTTCACGTGGTGGATTTCTTTAACAGGATTAACCTGATCTACGGCACAGTCAGCGAATATTGCAGCGAGCGCACATGCCCTATCATGTCTGGGGGTCTGAAGTACGAGTACAGATGGCAGGATGGTGACGACTACAGGAAACCCACCAAGCTGCCTGCTATCAAGTATATGAACCTGCTGATGGACTGGATAGAGTCCCTTATCAACAATGAAGACATCTTCCCCACCAGAGTAGGTGTGTGTGAGAGCTTTAAAAATGAAGGCCATCATCATTGTTTAAACTGAATAAGGACGGTGTGCTTTGTGGAGTGATAAATTAGTGTTTGGTTGTCGGCCTGCTCTGCAGCCTCATTACGCTTTCATACAAGCACACACAGTTCAATATGAGGTTAATTAGAAAGTAATATTGGCATTTAGAAGAGAATAGATAATAGAGGCAATATTTTTTTTCACAAGACAAGTTAAATACTTTTCAAAATAATAACAGTGGAGGATTCCCTGCAAATATATTGAGTAGACAGATAGATAGCCCAGCAAACGGATCCTCTTTATAACAATCGGGGGACTTGTTTGATATTGTTCTGCAAAGAAAGTGTGAAAATAATGGAAAAAACTCTTTAAAAGCCAACATATATTATTAGTATGTGAACATCTTGTAGGTTTTCCATCACTCTGCTCCTCATTGACCAGAAGATAGAATCACTTGTAATTTTTATGAATAACAAGTTAATATTTGCACCATGACTTGTTTACACTTTTTGTGTTAATCTGGGTTAAGTACTCTTGTTAGGATATTTCTCATCAAGCCTAAGTTTTGTTTTAACTAGGGTGAAAATGAACATAAAATACAGGTGTGTAATCAGTGAAATTATTCTACTAGAACTTCTTTTTGTTGAAATAATGGACCTATATAATCCCAATGCATCTTGTTAAGTCCAACAGTTCATAATGTAAAAAAAAAGACACATTTGTCCTTGCAGTCAAAGCAGCACAAATATGTACGACACTCAGCATAGAACAAAAGCAGATCAGGATGCTGTGCTTCATCAAAACAGGTTTAAAGGAAGGTGGTCCTAGCTAACATCATTGAGACCTACCTGGTTAGAGTAAAAGCAACTATAACTTTCATATATATATATATATATATATATATATATATATATATATATATATATATATATATATATATATATATATATATATATATATATATATATATATATATATATATATATAGTTCAATAACCACTACGCTGATAAACCTGTGTGTTCAATCTTCAACTAATATATATATTTCAAGCAGAAAACACCATATCAAAGATGGCATCTGATTTAGAGCTTTTAGTTGTGTGGATAAATCAATGAACAAACTTCAAAATAAAATACGATGTAGCATGCTATTAAGAAACTGAGAAGACCATTTAAAAGTATGTTTATTTGAATAGTCATTTATTTCAATAGTCATTTATTTGAATAGTCATTTATTTTATTACTTTTGAATCAGCTAATTGTTGCTCAGAGGTTTTAGCGTATTCGCCTGACAGCATTGGAAAGTTGAGATAAAGTGGGTTTACATTCCTAATATGAGTCTTTCACACTCATCTTTAACACAACCAGTATAAATATAAGTAATTATATCTATATATGAATGTACTCCTACCCTTTTATTTCTAACCTATTTTAAGGAGTCAGAATTGTCGATTAGGGGTCGAACCATGATGGAAGTTAAAAGTAAAATGAGACCTACATGCTTTCAATAAAGTAATCATTTTTTGTTTCTTGCTTCTTCCATTTAGGTGTGCCTTTTCCAAAGAACTTCCAGCAGGTGTGCAAGAAGATCCTGAGCCGTCTCTTCAGAGTCTTTGTGCACGTTTACATCCATCACTTTGACAGCATCTGCAGCATGGGTGCCGAGGCCCACATCAATACCTGCTACAAACACTACTACTACTTCATCTCAGAGTTCAGTCTCATTGATAACTCGGAGCTGGAACCACTGGTGAGCCGCAGTTTTAACACCAGTCTGTGTATTGTCGGGTCGCCATCTTGTACAGGTGCTGGTCATAAAATTAGAATATCATGAAAAAGTAGATTGATTTCAGTAATTCCATTTAAAAAGTGAAACTTGTATATTATATTCATACATTACATACAAACTCATATATTTCAGATGTTTATTTTGTTTAATTTTGATGATTACAAATGACAACAAATGAAAATCTCAAATTCATCATATCAGAAAATTAGAATATTACTGAAGACCAATAAAAACAAAGGATTTATAGAAATGTTGGCCAACTGAAAAGTATGAACATGAAAAGTATGAGCATGTACAGCACTCAGTATTTAGTTGGGCCTCCTTTGGCCTGTATTACTGCAGCAATGCGGCGTGGCAGGGAGTCGATCAGTCTGTGGCACTGCTCAGGTGTTATGATAGCCCAGGTTGCTCTAATAGTGGCTTTTAGCTCTTCTGAATTGTTGGGTCTGGTGTATTGCATCTTCTTCTTCACAATACCCCATAGATTTTCTATGGGGTTAAGGTCAGGAGAGTTTGCTGGCCAATTAAGAACAGGGATACCATGGTCCTTCAACCAGGTACTGGTAGCTTTGGCACTGTGTGCAGGTGCCAAGTCCTGTTGGAAAATGAAATCTGCATCTCCAAAAAGTTGGTCAGCTGCAGGAAGCATGAAGTGCTCTAAAACTTCCTGGTATGTGGCTGCGTTGACCCTGGACCTCAGAAAACACAATGGACCAACACCAGCAGATGACATGGCACCCCAAACCATCACTGACTGTGGAAACTTTACACTGGACTTCAAGCAACGTGGATGAAGTGCCTCTCTTCTTTTCCTCCAGACTCTGGGACCTTGATTTCCAAAGGAAATGCAAAATTTACTTTCATCAGAGAACATGACTTTGGACCACTCACCAGCAGTCCAGTCTTGTTTCTCTTTAGACGCTTCTGACGCTGTCTGTGGTTCAAGAGTGGCTTGACACAAGGAATGCGACAGCAGAAACCCATGTCTTTCATACGTCTGTGTGTGGTGGTTCTTGAAGCACTCACTCCAGCTGCAGTCCACTCTTTGTGAATCTCCCCCACATTTTTGAAGGGGTTTTGTTTCACAATCCTCTCCAGGGTGCGGTTATCTCTCTTGCTTGTACACTTTTTTCGACCACATCTTTTCCTTCCCTTCGCCTCTCTATTAATGTGCTTGGACACTGAGCTCTGTGAACAGCCAGCCTCTTTAGCGATGACCTTTTGTGTCTTGCCCTCCTTGTGCAAGGTGTCGATGGTCGTCTTTTGGACAACTGTCAAGTCAGCAGTCTTCCCCATGATTGTGTAGCCTATAGAACTAGACTGAAAGACCATTTAAAGGCTTTTGCAGGTGGTTTGAGTTAATTAGCTGATTAGAGTGTGGCACCAGGGGCCATCAATTTTGAACCTTTTCACAATATTCTAATTTTCTGATATGATGAATTTGAGATTTTCATTTGTTGTCATTTGTAATCATCAAAATTAAACAAAATAAACATCTGAAATATATGAGTTTGTATGTAATGTATGAATATAATATACAAGTTTCACTTTTTAAATGGAATTACTGAAATCAATCTACTTTTTCATGATATTCTAATTTTATGACCAGCACCTGTAGCTGCCTATCATGTCTTTCGTGGATGCTAGGTGGAGTAAAAACAGAAAAGAATGAATATATGCCAGTAAAAACTCTGGATATGCTGCTGTGAGAGCAAATGCTGCACTCCACAAATCTATTTTCTATGGATGAGTGGAGAAAAAGAGGCATTTTGAAGGATAATAACTGGAAGTCAGGTCTGCACTTTGCTATTAGCCATATAGGGGATGGTCAGAAGGCCAGAATTTAATTATTTTAGATCTTGGTGTAAAATTTAGCAGATTACAAGTAATGGCACATACCATCCAAAAGGGGAAACATCACAGAGGAAGCTTTATGATGCAGGAATAGATTCTTCCATCCTAACAAGAAGACTGGTAAATACTTATTGTGGTAGAGGAAAGTACTTGATTCATGGTTGAAAAATTGTGATGAAATAACCAGTGCTTAAATCCAGACTTCGAATTTGTCAGGTTTGGTGGAAGTTAGTTGAGGACCCAAAGGCAGAGATGAGGAGGCAACGATGAGTTTTGGTGACAGAGGCAACATCCAAGAACCGAAATACAGGAAACCAAAAACAAGAAGACATCAGGGGAAAACACACATTGGGAGCCAAGTAACAACAAGACACCAGTAATGATTATCTGCAGAGGAGGTGTATATATGGGGGACAGAACAAAGAATGGGCTAATGAGCTGATATGGAGCAGGTGTGGACAGAAGTAACTAGAAGGGAGCTTGGGGAAAGGAGACAGGAACAAGGGGGCAACAGGGAGTAACTCAAAAAATGCAACACAAAATGGAAAAGAATCCAAAAATAAAAAAAAGAGAAGGACGTAGGTTACTGAAAACTCAAAACGATACTCAAGTAGAGGTCCAAAAGGGGAGAACCATCACAGATTTTTAGGATTAAGGGGTGGGAATACTAATGCAAGTCACTTTGACACATCAACTGTGTTTTCCCCTTGACAACAATTTTCCATCCAGTTATTGATGGTAACGGAATGAGTGCTCTTTCGATTTGAGTTTCCATCTCCAAAGGGGACTCTGAGCTTCTTTGAAGCAGTTAGTTTGAAATATTATACCAACCCTTTGCAGTCATGTAATGAGAAAAGAATGCATCAATTATTTGCTTTTTCCAACAGAGACTTCTATCACTTTGGAACAGATGGAGTATAATGCTCCCCTTGCCAATGAAAGGTTCCAATTAGCATTGTTATGATGCCTAAATGGTGAAAATATCTGGAAAAAAAAAGAAATAAAGAAAGATGAGATAATTATATCAGCTTAAGCAGAAACAATGAATCACCAGTGCTGATCTTTTTTTTTTCAGTACTTTTATGCTTCCTCTTTACTGGTCTTTGAGGAACAAAAGCATGATTTTTGACACAAAGAAATTAGTTTCCTTTTGACACTCCTGTTAATTACTCTCAGTCTCGTTCATATATTTTATGAGCTAACCTGTCCCTTTTTTCCTTTGATTTTTTTTTGCAGAGAGAGATGACTGAGAGAATTTGCACTTAATGAGAAAAACATGGATATAGAAGTTTACATTATGACGTAATCTGAGCCCCAGGAGAGAACACCATCTGTAAAACATTCCAGACTTTGGACATTATCATGGATTTCAAAGCATGCTGTTGGAGGTCATTCAACTTTCCACTATCCTCTGGATGGTGGCGCTGTATCTTCTAAACTGCACACTTTTTGTGGTGCTACATCTTTATACTTCTCTGTGTCGGCCTCTGTGAAAATGCTGCTTTTTTTCTTTTCTTTTCCACTTGTATTTTATATGATTTTGCTTCTTATCTGTTTTTATGTGCTGTGCCTAACATATAACGTTTTGGTTATAAATGGTTTTTCATTAAACTCATCACAAAATGTCTTTTTTTTGTTTTGTTTTTGCAATATTAAAAAAGCAATTATCTCATTGAAAATTGCAGAACAAGAGCAAAGACATAAAGTTTAAAAGTTCCTTTGATGGAAATAGATGGACATTGTATTTTACATTTATTTTTATGTTCATTTAATTTATGTAAGAGCAATTCACAACAAAACATTTAAAGAAGTTAATTCTATCATTTAGACAGGTTCCGATTGAGGTACACACATTCCATTATAAACATAAAAGTAGCAAAACAAAGCTGATACAGGAGCATTTACTGCATGTGAAAGAAAAATGAAGCTACTAGAATATTTAGTGGCTTAATCTAAAACAAAAATACAGCTGAGCATAAAATCTCTGAGCCAGTTTCAGACTATTAGATGAGAGAGAGAGTGCATAGTTAGTTGCAGTGAAAGCTCAGCCAAATGCAGTGTATAGGAAAAAGAAAGATTAGCAGTTTTTGAGCTTTTCTGTTTTGGAAGAAGTGATTTGTTCATTTTTTAATAATACATAAATACCCTAAATATGTGATTTTTACACTCAAAGTTATAATAGCATAAAATCTAATAACAGGCCATGCCTAAAAATAAACAGTCATTAAAATTAAAGAAAAGGGCAGAGAAATGTAAGTTGAAGTACTCCATGCATTATACTTAATATAGGTATTACTGATTTGTATGGAGGACTTCTCAATTTAACAATACTGAGGAATTTTAAGTATTTTTCTTAATTTAGGTGGTTTAGAAAAATTAAATTTTGCATTAAGGCAGTTTCTGTTTTTCTTCTATATAAACAGGCATGAAATAGCGGAAGACTCACAGTTCCATTGATCCACAAATAAAATTTATGACTTTAAATTAAAAAAATATATAAAAAATTTAGTAAGTTCACAAGAAATGCAAGTTTAAATAACACATATTTCTTTAATCTAAAGGAGAATACGAGTTTTTAACGTTAAAACTTGTTTGTTTTGGTCTTCATTTAAAACCTGATGGAAAGGCTGGATTTCTTTTTTATTTTTTGTTAAACATTGAAATGAAAACCTACAAAAGCTTGCTCCTTGCAAAAAGGGATTTTGGTCTTCCTCCTGTATTACCATCATTCAGGGAATTTGTGCTAACCTAGCCCAACATGCTATCACCACCCACTCCTGTTTGGGTTCCACCAAAAGAAATGATTTTAACAATCAGGTATTCACCTGCGGGTAGTTGTTGTTGCTGCAGGTGTATCTTTTACCTATTTTATCTATTGTGTAAAAGACTGTAAAACGATTGTAAACGAACCTGGCAAACCATATTATGAATGTTGGGGTTGCCATGTGTTGTGTCCCATATTGAACCAATAGACATGATTTGTTCCGTATTGTTATACAGTTTGGACACGCGCCTGTATCAGTAATAGAGCTAACAATAATTAACAAGATAAAACACCGTAAATATTAAATCCTGTAAAATTGTGGTGAAGCAATCTAAGCAGAACCTGATCAGCTCTGCCTAAGCTGCTGTCACTGTTGCCTAGAGATAGACCAACGCACCAGTGCTACGCTTTTTCACCCGAATTACACTGAAAAATCCCACACCCTCAGATGGAAACAACTGCAAAAATACAGACGTGAGCAGGAAGATGCAAGTCCTTAACTGAATGGCGTTAGTTTGATGAATATGAAGAAAATTATATGATGTGTTGGGCTGTCGGCAAGAGCTTACAGTGACACCCAGCAGTGGCACCCAGCAGGCTGTGCATGGCTCAGGACAGAAATGCTTAAAACACCTGCATCAGTCCTTTATCCTCCAACTGTTTCCTGAGACTAAAATAATGGGGAATATGATGATTATTGTGGTTCTACAAATTTGTACAATAATAACAATTAGACAATAACTAAGTTTTGTGCAAATGAAGGATTTTAATCCTTCATTGTGTTTTGTTTTGTTGATGTTGGCACTGAACAAACACATGAACAAAAAACAATGAGGTTATTCATCTTTTGAAATATTAAGAGATCTGCATAATCAAGGAGCCGATTGTGGCTACAGAGGAGAGTTAAAGCAGATAAAAAAAGTAGGCGTGCCATAATTCCCTTAATTTTAGGAGATCAGTAGGTCTAACAATAAGCTATTATTAGTGCTCCAAACTTTTCATTTATATTTGAGACCATTATCTAGTGCAGTTAAAACAAGTTTTCGATTGTTTCACATGGATTGCTGTTTTTTTCCAGTAAGATAAGATGGACTAGATGGAAACATAATGCTTTATTTTGATGGTTATAAAAAAAATATTGGTATGGGTCAAATTTGGAATTAGCATGTCAGGCTTTTTAAACATTGGTTACCCACCAAAAAAAGAAATTTGTGCAAACCTAAAATGAGGATCTGGTCTCAACATAACTGAAGCTAAAAGTGAAACACCTTAATTTTATGAGTGATTGCTGCAATAAATGTGTGAAGGTAAAAATATAAAACAGATTCGAGGAGCCTGGTGGATTCTGTCTAAATGCATATGTTAACAAGAAATTTATTTAATATTAAGTATTTAGTACAGGGACATTTACTGGGGCCAGAACCTACAGGGGCACTGGTGGATCCTGCTGGCCCCTTTAAATAACTGCCCATGTTTTGTCTGGAGTAGGAGCCCGAAACAGAAGCAGAAGCTGGAAGGGATCCAATAAAATCCTTTGAGCTGATTTCACAATCTGCTGGATGCATACCTGTTATAATACCTGTTGCTTGTTTTATTTATTTAGTGCAATGTGAGATTTCTAAGCCTCCATAGACAAGATGCAATAACATAGAATATTAATATTACCGGTAGAATTTTTTTTAATTACTATTAATTTCCGGCAATTACATGCATTGGAACACACAAGTCAATATCAGTTCATCAATTTAAACTTATGAGTCATAGTAACAAGTTACTCATTCATAGTTAACATATATATTTCTAGCTATTTTTGTTCTCTTTCTGTCTTTCTTTTTAAATGGCAACTAGAGCACAAAATTGTATGAGCAAAAGGAGTATGAAAAAAATTATAATAATTATGTTTTCGGTACTGAGAACAAATACCGGTAAGCAAAATCACAATTGTGTTACCCGAGCAGATGATTAACTTTATAGTATCTTTTTGTTTTCTATCATATCTGCAATAATTAATACCCAGAGTGGTAATAGTTTACACAATATCAAAAATAGCAAAGAAACACACCAACAATGGTAATAGACAAACACCAGTAATAGTAAAAAGAACTAGAAGCACACATTGACATACACTAATATACATTTTAGACCCTCTCTGAACATACTGTGACCAAATCAACTGTTTGAATAAGATTTTAAATCTGTGAATATTTTTGCATTTTTTATGTTGTGAATGCAGACTTCTGAGTTTCATTCCACATGAAACTCTGGAGACAACTCAACACAGAAAAACTTTTCTGAGTTGTTCGTACTCTGGGTCATGTGAACTCACCATTATGACAGGCCGTATTGACATTTGTTAGAAACTCTATCCTCCCTATTGTTCCATTTCTGGACCTCTAAAATAAGATTCTTGCTTGTCAAAACTACATTCCTACTAGCTAGAAATGTACATATATATGTCCTAAATTACATTTTTCCTGGCAAAAAGTTTATTTCATATAATTTAACAAATATAATTGTACTAGTAAGAATAAACTTTAAAATACCTAGAAATCTTTACAAATTTTAAGTGGCCCTTTTGACATTTATTAGCTTGAGTGAATATATATTTCAGATTTATTTTTGATATCTGAAATAATAATTTTGCCTAGTAGTTGCTCTATTATGCAGTTAATCCTAGTCACAATTCATTTTAGATAGGAAGAATGTTTATTTTAGATAGGAAGAATGTTACTGT